TATATATATATATATGCAAAAACACCCGAGGCTTTAATTATCCTTTAGATATCTCAACCCTGTGCAATTCAGTGTAATTACTCTCCATAGAAATGATTCCTCAATGTATGTTTTTGGGATATCGCATTTGAAAAGGTGCATGGCAGAAAACTTGTCCCATAAAACATTTTTTGTATTAACTAGGGATGCACCGATACCAATGAATTCAATGGCACCGCTACCCCTGCCTGCAGTGCGATTGGACGCGTGGCAAAACTTTGCCTGCGTTCTGTTCCACTGCAAACGCAAAAAAAATAGAGCAAGCAGCATTTTTTTTGGGCGTTTGCAGTGAAACAGAAAGGCACTGCGGGCAGGGGGGCGTGGAAGCGGTGCCATTGAATTCAATACACCGCCATGCCCCCTCCCGCCCCAGAACGCAGGGGGAAGTTTTGTGAGGGATTGAAGTGCGTTCCAGCAGCTACCGCTCTGGAACGCACCGCATTTGGTGTGAACAAGCACTTAGGCAGGCACTTCCATTACATAGTTGTTGGTAGATCTAAAGGTGCTTGCACAATCAGATTGTAACGTGTGGCGAGCATGAAGCCCGTGACACACTGCATGCAAAGCGCAGACATTCGCCTGCAGTGTAGTGTGCAAGAGTACGAGTAGCTGAGCGCTGTGACATGGAAGACTTCATCTTCTGCCAATCGGCTCACGCATAAGAACTCAATGGACTTTGCATCCTGAGGCGTGGGATTTATCTGCGTGAGCCGATTGTCTGAAGATGACATTTTTAATTTCGCCAATGCTCAGCTATGCGAGCTAACGCTCACGAGAGGAAACTGCAAGACACACTGCACGTGAAGGTATGCACGCCGCCGCTTCCCTTTGCGTGTTCACAAGCATTTGTTTTCAGCATTTAGTGTGTGTTCCAATTGATCCCTGGATGTGTTCGGAGTTTTTCCAGCCGTGTTTGAGATGCCAATGCCTAGCAATAGCCATACAAGTAGAGTCCTGCATTTGTACATATGTGGGGAACGTGCGTCAAAAGCGTGCACTTTTTTGCGCACCTGATGCACGTTCACAAGACGCCCTTATGTGTACGGGGCCTAAAGGTGTATGTTTCAGCCTGCTGTCACTCAGGTAATGCCATGTGTCACCCCCAGGGCCCTAGTTCTTACTATCTAGAGAGGTGACAGCTCTTGCCATCAAGCAGCGGGATCTTATGAATACCTCTGGATAGTCCCGCGGAATCCGGGGCTGTCCCTGTGTCCTGTCACTAACCTGCTTCCCTTTGGCTCTGCACTGACACCTCTGTCTTTGTGGGCCGCCTGCTCGGGAGATGTTTGCGGTGAGGTGCCGGTGGAATGTCTTCATCTCCGAGTCTATGAAGCCCTGCAGGCGGCTCTGTAATATCTGCAGACAATATCCGGCCTTCATCCAGTTCTTGTATTCCCTGCAGTTTAATCTCAGCAGAAGACTGGTCTGCGCCATCCCTTCTCCTTCGTACAGCTCTGCTGAGCAAAACGCATCCGGAAACAGTGATATACAAATCACACTACACACATGAATGGACAGATTCCGGGGCGCAGCCGACTCCACCCGAATGGCTGACACTAGGTGAAGAGCTCACGTCATCATGACGTCACCCAGCTGGGCATACACAGCCAGGAACTGGCAGCAGCTATGCAGAGCAGGACATGTAATAACCTCCTTTTCTTTGTCATAGAAGACTAGAAATACAAACCTGTTAGCAACCAACTTCTTTTCTCTGCAGCTAAAGTATGATTTCTAGAGGCAGATAGTATGCGATCAATAGAGCCATTTCGTGAGCCAGAGAGGGAGAACTTCAATAGAGGACCACTGATGGGTTTATTCAGGGGGGCATTGAATAGAGGATCCCTGAGGACTAGTTCACACCAGATGCAATTGTGACTCAGTCTGTTCATTTTGGCAGCTGCATCAAAATCACGTCACAATGCTTTCCAATAAGATTTCTGGTGCTCTGTTCACCCCAGTTCCAATGCAGTCTGAAAAAATCTGGCATGCAAACACACTGGAACGCATCTGAAAGCCTTCACACCATAACTGCGTGCGTCTGCGCAGCTGCAGTGCGATTTTGATGCTTTTTTGCATAATGGAGAACTATGAGGCGAGTGAAAATCACTCATCCTCATAGTTTGAGTCGACGTGTGACAATGAAACTGTCACACATCGGCTCAATAGATTGTGAAGTGAGCGAACACATACCGTCGCTCGCTCACTTCTCGATCTATCCCTGCAGAGATCACTGAGTGATTATTACGTGAGGCATTCACTAGAGCAGTGGTTCTCAACCTTTCTAGGGCCGGGACCCCTTGGTAACATTTGCCAAGTTGTGGTGACCCCCAACGGAGCGCTGGACTCCAGAATTAGTAAGGCGCTGGACTTGGGACTAAAAATAGAAGCACACTCACAAGAATACAAGTCCTCCCCAGCTCCTGCTTGCCTGCTCTGTCTCCATGCAGCCTTCTCAGCCCCAGCACTGCTTAGACGCCCCGCCTCCTGCAGAGCGCACATTGTATGTCACCGGTCACACATTGTAACGTAGTCACAAACTTTGATAGAACACCGCCATCAGGGGGTGTACGGCCGGTATCCATGTGAAGAGTCTGGGCAGCCTGGGGGGCCTCTTACAGGAGTATCAGCTGTACCAGGGGTGGCATGGCAGAGGTGACAGGGGAGGGGGTGGAGGAGGCCAGACCCCAGCAGCAGCTGGTAAGAGGAGTTGGGAGGAGGTACAGGGAAAGGGATCCCCCGGGTGACCAGCCCACCTGAGGCCCTGCAGAGCCCACCATAGAGCCTCAGATGGGCTGTGCAGGGTCAATCTCAGGTGGGCTCTCAGAAAAGCCCAGAGTCCAGTGCGTTACTAAGCCCACATATACCTATATTCATGCTATACAGAGCATAAAGGTAAAAAACAATATAAACATTATCTTCATTTTAGATGTCAAAAGGGTTTTGTGGCTCCCGGTGCTTTCGTTTGTGTGGGAAACGGGTCCAAATGGCTCTTTGCGTGTTCAAGGTTGCTGACCCCTGCACTAGAGGATCACTGAGGGTATATTCCGTGAGGCATTCTCTAGAGCAGTGGTGGCAAACCTTGGCACTCCAGCTGTGCCAAAACTACAAATCCCAACATGCATCTGCCTCTGGGAGTTATGTCTGTGGCTGTCAAAGCCTTGCAATGCCTCATGGGATTTGTAGTTCCAAAACAGCTGGAGTGCCAAGGTTCACCTCCACTGCTCTAGAGGATCACTGAAGGTTTATTCCGTGAAGCATTCTCCAGAGGATCACTGAGGGTTTATTCTGTGAGGCATTCACTAGAGGATCACTGAGGGTGTATTCCGTGAGGCATTCACTAGAGGATCACTGAGGGTTTATTCCATGAGGCATTCACTAGAGGATCACTGAGGGTTTATTCGTGAGGCATTCACTAGAGGATCACTGAGGGTTTATTCGTGAGGCATTCTCTAGAGGATCACTGAGGGTTTATTCCGTGAGGCATTCACTAAGGGATCACTGAGGGTTTATTCCGTGAGGCATTCACTAGAGGATCACTGAGGGTTTATTCCGTGAGGCATTCACTAGAGGATCACTGAGGGTGTATTCCGTGAGGCATTCACTAGAGGATCACTGAGGGTTTATTCCGTGAGGCATTCACTAGAGGATCACTGAGGGTTTATTCCGTGAGGCATTCACTAGAGGATCACTGAGGGTTTATTCCGTGAGGCATTCACTAGAGGATCACTGAGGGTTTATTCCGTGAGGCATTCACTAGAGGATCACTGAGGGTGTATTCCGTGAGGCATTCACTAGAGGATCACTGAGGGTTTATTCCGTGAGGCATTCACTAGAGGATCACTGAGGGTTTATTCCGTGAGGCATTCACTAGAGGATCACTGAGGGTGTATTCCGTGAGGCATTCACTAGAGGATCACTGAGGGTTTATTCCGTGAGGCATTCACTAGAGGATCACTGAGGGTTTATTCCGTGAGGCATTCACTAGAGGATCACTGAGGGTGTATTCCGTGAGGCATTCACTAGAGGATCACTGAGGGTTTATTCCGTGAGGCATTCACTAGAGGATCACTGAGGGTTTATTCCGTGAGGCATTCACTAGAGGATCACTGAGGGTTTATTCCGTGAGGCATTCACTAGAGGATCACTGAGGGTTTATTCCGTGAGGCATTCACTAGAGGATCACTGAGGGTTTATTCCGTGAGGCATTCACTAGAGGATCACTGAGGGTTTATTCCGTGAGGCATTCACTAGAGGATCACTGAGGGTTTATTCCGTGAGGCATTCACTAGAGGATCACTGAGGGTTTATTCCGTGAGGCATTCACTAGAGGATCACTGAGGGTGTATTCCGTGAGGCATTCACTAGAGGATCACTGAGGGTGTATTCCGTGAGGCATTCACTAGAGGATCACTCAGGGTGTATTCCATGAGGCATTCTCTAGAGCAGGGGTCTCAAACCTCCGGCCCTCCAGATGTGGTGGAACTACAAATCCCATGAGGCATTGCAAGATTATCACAGCCACGACTCCCGAGAGATGCATCATGGGATTTGTAGTTTCACCGCAGCTGGAGGGCCAGAGGTTTGAGACCCCTGCTCTAGAGGATCACAGAGGGTGTATTCCGTGAGGCATTCACTAGAGGATCACAGAGGGTGTATTCCGTGAGGCATTCACTAGAGGAGCACTGAGGGCTTATTCAGTTTGGCATTCACTACAAGATCCCTAGAGAGTTTATTCAATGAGGCATTCACTAGGGCAGTGGTGGCGAACCTTGGCACTCCAGCTGTTTTGGAACTACAAGTCCCATGAGGCATTGCAAGGCTCTGACAGCCACAGACATAACTCCCAGAGGCAGATGCATGTTGGGATGTGCAGTTTTGGCACAGCTGGAGTGCCAAGGTTTGCCACCACTGCACTAGGGTATAGGAAGACAACCTCTGCACTCCAGTTGTGAACCTACGAATTCCATGAGGCAATGCAAGACTGACAGCCACAGGTATGACTCCCTGATGCAGTGGCATGATGGGATTTTCAGTTTCACCACAGCTGGAGTGCCAAGGTTCACTATCCCGGTCCTATAGCCTTTTTTTTCCTAGCTATTTACAGTCTACCAACTGAAAATCATTACCCTGTACTGGCTTCCTAATAGGGACAACAATGTACCATGCCTGCGTGTCAGCATAGCTGCTTGTAATTATCTTTGTAGTGCATGCAGGAGGGTGACAACACTGGAGCACAGTTGGGAGACAGTTGCCACCCTATCATCGAGGGCTCTTGGATCATGTACTGCTACAGGTTGTGTCTAGATGAAGCACAATTTGTTAAATCGATCTAACATTCCCTTTTGTTATCCTTAGTCAGGAATATCATGCTGTGGGTATAATCAAGACAAATCTTGTAACTTTATATGATTATCAACAACTACATAAAGCACTGCGACCTGGATGAAGGCTTTCCAGTAGGGTAGCTTCAGCTATTCATAGGATGCCATCTGTGAGTTGCTTTGCCTGTCCCTCGTTTGGTTAACTTGTAAATGGACTTTTTGGTGTGGTTAAGAACATGTAATACATACAAACCTGTACTGTCTTCTATTGCATTGTATACTTAGCATTTGATGTAGTACAGGTAATCTAATACTACAAACACTCCCCTAAGAATGCAAAGAATGCCTGTCATATGTATATTGAATGTGTGTTATCCATTTTGATACATTGGAAACAGCCCCGTCTCAGTATTTGCTTTTCTACATTCACAAGGGCTTTTTCAATCCAACTTAGTACTTACCTGCCATTCCTATTTGAGTTATTTTCCAAAGAAGAAAGGGATGGTCTAGCAGAATATATTGCCGAGGCAGGCAACCTTTGGCACTCTAGCTGTGCTGAAAGTACTCGTGCTTTTGGCTGTCACTCATGCAATGCATCATGGGACTTTTAGTTTCACAACACCTGGAGGGCAGAGGTTGCCTACCTCTGATATATTGTTCACAACAATACCTCTATCCAGCCATGGTCAAGGATCCTCACAGTCCAAAATGAAGACTTCTTGCATGTGTTCACAAAAAAACACAAGAGGAGTGTTACTACCTTGGAAACTATTTTTAGTGGTGCGATAAATTACGAAACCCCCCTCTCCCTGTTTAAGGAGAAGTATGAGGCGAGTGCTTTTCACTCACCTCATAGTTCTAGCCGACCTGTGACAATGAGACTGTCACAGGTCGGCTCAGTAGATCGGGAGGTAAGCGAACACATACTGGCGTTCGCTCACCTCTCGATCCTGTCACTGCTCTCTGCCGTGACGGGGGGAGGGGCTGGATTCCCCCCTCCCCGATCCGCCAGCGCTGATTGGCAGAACGGACGGGGGAGGGGGCAGGTACAGCTGGCTCTGCCTCTAGATAGGCAGAGCCAGCTGTCAGTCACGCAGCTGGCGGATCCCGGCACAATTGTCGGGATCCGC